TTCGTCAACGCTGCGGGTTCCGTTTGCTTCTGTTATGTGCGTGGAGGAAAAGGGGGAAATGTTAGGATTCCTGTTGAGAAGCTAGGGGTTAATCGTGGTAAATTTTGGGTGAAATGAGATATTTCCTCGAACAGAAGACTCGAATGGTTATTTGGAGCAGAGGACCCAAATGGTGATACCCACAAAGGATGGGTTGGAAATGAAGAATAGTGGCCCAACAAGCCACCAATTTTGATCTGTTGAAGAGGAGCCAAGCACGTGAACCACAATTAGTTATGAAATGTCAATTGTATAAAATAAGTTGTTAGATTTTTTGTACTGAGGAATATAATGAGAAAATGTAATCGAAAGATCTATTCTGGTAATTTTAATGAAAAAAAATCATCTTTTTATCTTAAATCTAATCTTCTAAATTTCTTTAAATACCTAAATTCTTTCTTGAATTCTTTAAGGTTTATAACAATTGGTAATCAGAGCTAAGCAAAGATCAAACGTCAAGCTGGGTAAGCAGAGGAAAATACAAAATATGGGTGATAAAGGGGAAACAACAACCATATCAAGCAGTAATGAGGAGACTGGGAATGAAGTTCGGGTTCCTAGAGGGTGGGAAGAACAAAAAGAAGAATGGGAAAAAAGAATGAAGATGTTGGAGAGCAGGATGGATGAGACCCAAGGATATTTGCAGAAGATATTGAGCTGTGTGTCTAAGGTGAGTGAAGAACCTGAGCAGAATACTCCTGAAAAGAATGACCAGGTAATTGCTGCATCTTTACCTAAATCTGAAGGAAAAAGGCCTACACAAGTGACAATGATAAATGAGCATGAGAAATATTCCTTTTATCCTGAAGGTTTGGGAGTATTAGCTCCTAAACCAGAAGGCTACAAATCATCTAATTCCCTAACACAAAATCAGAAATTGAACTTAGGAGGGAATAATCATCAATCTGGAAGTACTTCACTTTCTAAAGATCCTTACTTGTATGAGAAAAGTGTACCAAGTCAGTCCTTTACCCTAAGACCTAAGATAAAATTATAGATGTTTGATGGTGATAACCCAAGGAGTTGGGTCAAAAAATGCCAAAAGTATTTTACTATTTTTGCAATTCCTGAGGAACAAAAAATGGAAATAGCAACAATGTATCTGACAGATAAGGCTGAAAATTGGTATGATGGGTATATTATGCAGAAAGGTCAAGTAAGTTGGCAGGAATTTATGGAGGATGTATGTAGCAGGTTCTGTGACAAGAACTACATTAATGTAATTAAGGAATTTAGTAAGCTTTTGCAGAAATCCACAGTGGAGAATTATCAAGAGAAGTTTGAGGAGCTTAAGCCATTTATGCTACAACACAATTCTTATATGGGAGAAGAATATTTTGTATATATGTTTTTGAGTGGATTGAATGAGGAAATTAAGCATTGAGTGAGGATGCATGAAACTAAAAGTCTGGATGAAGCTTACAGAAAGACAAGGTTATATGAATTGGCATTGGAAATTGAAGGGAAGAAAAAGATGTCAGTGCTCAAGAATAATTATCAATGTACACATCTTCAATCACAAAAGTTTGTAGGTGCATCAAATATTCAGAAGACTTCAGCAATCAATTCTCCAAATAAACAGACTTTGATATAGTATAGAAGAGGAAATAATTTATGTTTTAAGTGTGGAGAAAAATTCACTCCTGGTCATCAATGTAAACTGAAACATCTTAATATGATGGAGGAGGAAGACAATATAGAGGGAGATGAGGAAGGAGACAAAGAGGAAGAAACTGATGATAAAGAACAAGGGGCTTTGGAGATTTCTATTAATGCTCTCACCGGCAGTGTGGGACATAATACCCTAATACTTCAGGGAGTTATTAAAGGAAAATCATTGAATATTTTGGTGGATAGTGAAAGCACACACAATTTCATCACTCCTAGATGGGCAAAGGAAGGAGCGGAAGTGGAACAAACTCATCCTCTAGCTATTACAGTTGCTAATGGAGAAAAATTATTCAGTACTGCCAAGAGTAACAAGCTGAGTTGGAAAATGCAAGGAAATACATTTGAGTATGATTTTAGAGTTCTGAATATGGGGGGAAGTGATATGGTGTTATGAGTGGATTAGATGAGTCAGTATAATCCAATTCTTATGGATTTTAAAGAGATGACTATGACCTTTAAGGTGGGAGAAAAGGAGATTAAATTGGAAGGAAAACAAAAAGGTTATTATATGAAATTGATTTCGGAGTCTAAGCTGAAACAGATTACTGTTAAAGAACCAGAAGTAATAGGAGAAGCCTATTTCCTGAGCATGGAGGTAGTTGAATCCAAATTTTCAGAAGAATTACAAATTTTACTAGAGGAGTATCAAGATGTTTTTAAAGAACCAAAGAAAATGCCTCCTATTAGAAGTCATGATCATGCAGTGATTCTTAAGGAAGGAACTCAACCAGTAAATCTTAGACCCTACAGATTTCCACACCCACAGAAAGCAGAAATTGAAAAACAGATTAAAGAGATGTTGTCTGCTTCAATTATTCAGACCAGTAAGAGTCATTTTGCTTCACCCTGTTTATTGGTAAAGAAGAAGGATGTAACATGGAGAATGTGTGTGGACTATAGACAACTAAATGCTGTGACAGTTAAGAACAAATTTCTAATTCCAATAGTAGAAGACTTGTTGGATGAATTGACAGAGGCTTCCTATTTTTCTAAAATAGACATGAGATCAGGATATTGGCAGATAAGAGTTAAAGAAGAGGACATTCCCAAAACAACATTTAGAACACACCATGGACATTATGAGTTCAAGGTAATGCCCTTTGGGTTAACCAATGCACTTGACACTTTTCAAGCACTAATGAATGACTTATTTGGTCTATATTTGAGGAAGTTTGTGTTAGTATTTTTTGATGACATTTTGGTGTACAGTCCTAATCTCTTAGCTCATAAGCAATATTTGAAGGTGGTCTTGGAAATCTTGAGAAAAAATCAATTATATGCAAAAAGAAGCAAATATTTCTTTGGACAGAACAAGGTGGAGTATTTGGGGTATGTAATAACAGCAGAAGGAATTTCCACTGACCCTACCAAGGTGGAGGCCATGCAAAAATGGCCAGTTCTAAAGAATCTTAAGTCTTTGAGAGGCTTCCTAGGACTTACATGATATTATAGGAAGTTTATTAAAAGGTATGGGGAACTCAGTAAACCACTGACAAGTTTACTGAAAAATGGAGCTTTTAATTGAATGATGAAGCAGAAGCAACTTTTAAGAAATTGAAACAGTCTATGTGTGAAGCTCCTGTATTAGCTCTTCCAAATTTCAGTAAGACATTCTGTTTGGAGACTTATGCAAGTCAACAAGGAATAGGGGTTGTTTTGACACATGAAGGTAGACCACTAGCTTATTTGAGTAAGGCTTTGGGACCAAGGCATATGAAACTGTCTATCTATGAGAAGGAATATATAGCCATACTCATGGTTGTATCTAAATGGAGACACTACCTAGAAAATGGTCTTTTTATAATCAAAACAGACCATGAACCTTTAAAACATTTACTGGAGCAGAAATTGACTAATATAATTAAAAAAAAGGGATTATCTAAATTGTTGGGTTTGGATTATGTTATACATTATAGGAAGGGTAGATTGAATGTAGTGGCAGATGCTTTGTCAATAAGATTTGAAAAAGAAAAGGAGGTTGAACAGGTTGAAGAAATAGGAGAATGTACGCAGATGACTACCACTATCTTGATTCCTGAGTGGGTAAAAGAAATTAAGGACAATTATAAGGGAGATATCTAAGCCCATAAATTTATTACAAGTTAAACTATTGACTCTAATACAGAGTCTGATTGGAAGTTGGTTAAAGGAGTGTTAAGGTATAAGAACAGGGTTTATATTGGGGAACATGGAAATTTAAGGAAGAAAATCATGGAGTGCTTACATGATTCCCCTCAAGGAGAACATTCTGGAGTACAAGCAACTTATCACAGAATTAAACTTTATTTCTACTGGAAAGGCTTGAAAAGTCAAGTTAAATCCTATATGAAGAAGTGTGAAGTATGCCAAAGAACAAAAGGGGAGAATGTGACAATTCCAGGTTTGTTACAATCTATTGTTATTCCTAATCAGGCATGGGAAGTTATTACTATGGATTTCATTAAAGAACTACCACAGTCAATGAAATTCAATTGCATATTGGTAATAATGGATAAGTACTCTAAATATGGCCATTTTTTAGCCATATCTCATCCCTATACAGTGACTGAAATAGCTAGAACCTATTTAGAGCAAGTTTATAAATTGCATGGACCACCTAAGGTAGCTATATCAGACAGAGACAAAACATTTACGAGCTTATTCTGGAAAGAATTGATGAAGCAGCTTGGAACTACAACTTTTTTCAGTACAGCCTACCATCTAGAGACAGATGGCCAGACTGAAAGGTTAAACCAGTGTTTGGAACACATACTTGAGAAGTATGTGTTTCCTTAAACCTGGTAATTGGGCAAAGTATTTACCATTAGCTGAATGGTGGTATAATACTAATTACCATACAGCCCTAGGAATTACACCTTTTGAAGCCTTGTCTGGATACAAGCCTCATATGATTAACTGGTAGAGTGATACTAGTGTTAATGCAGATACAGGAGATTATGGGGGAAAGAGAACAGCTACACAGAGTACTTAAAGAGAATTTAGCTAAGGCTCAACATCGAATGAAACAAAATGTCTATAAACACAGAAGTAATCGAGAATTCCAGGAAGGATAGGAGGTTTACCTAAAATTGCAGCCCTATAAGCAATCATCCGTAGCTGTTACAAGAAACTTGTAGCAAAATTTTATAGACCCTACAAAATCCAGAAAAGAATTGGGTTAGTGGCGTATCAATTGGAACTGCCAACACATTAAAAAATCCATCCAGTTTTTCATGTGAGTTTACTGAAAAAGAAAGTGGGTGAGGGAGCAATTACCTCTAAGAACCCTCTTGAACTTAGCGAAGATGGACAGATGAAGGTCTATCCGGCCATCGTGCTTAACAAGAGGATAGTGAAGAGACAGAACAATGCGATCACACAACTAATCCAGTGGTCAAATTTGGGAGAAAAAAACGCCACTTGGGAGGATTATGCTGTGTTGAAATCCCAGTTTTCAGATTTCGATCCTTGGGGACAAGGATCAGGTGAATGGGAGGGAAATATTATGTGCGTGGAGGAAAATGGGGAAATGTTAGGGATTCCTGTTGAGAAGCTAGGGATTAATCGTGGCAAATTTGGGGGAAATGAGATATCACCTGGAGCAGAAGAATCGGATGGCTATTTGGAGCAGAGGACCCGAGTGGTGATACCCACAGAGGATGGGCAGGAAATGAAGAATGGTGGCCCAACAAGCAGTGATCCACCAGTTCTGATCTGTTGAAGAGGAGCCAAGCACGTGAACCATAATCAATTATGAAATGTCAGTTGTATAGAATAAGTTGTTAGATTTTTTGTACTAAGGAATATAATGAGAAAATGTAATCGAAAGATCTATTCTGGTAATTTTAATGAAAATGTCATCTTTTTCTTAAATCGAGTCTTCTAAATTTCTCTAAATACCTAAATTCTTTCTTGAATTCTCTAAGGTTCATAACAGCTTCCATCAACAGATTTGAAGATTCCTCTTTGCCATCCATTGCGAAGAAAAACAAAAAAGTAAAATTTGAAGGAAATGGGATTCAGAGAGTTTAGGACTAGGGTTTGTTAATTTGTGAATTGTTTTGGATTTTCACAGTAACAGTGACGAAGGAGAAGAGGATCGGGTGGCACTTGACGTCTTTAAGTGCTAGCTTGCCGACGTAACAACTCGGTGTATGCAACTGAAAAACAAAAACGAAAATCAAAACCACGTGTTTATTTTTAATTAAACCTGTAATTATTTTATTTTTATAATATTTTTATAATTATTAATTAAATTTAAATCAAATATTTTTTTTACTACGATAAAATACATGTTTAATTTTATTTTTATCTTAAATAATAATTTAGAGCAAATTACATGTTTAGTACCTAAATTATCAATTTTGATTCATTTTAGCACCGAAATTTTGAAAGTTTTTTAACATCATATTTAAAGTTTAGTTTTTGTTTCATTTTAGTAACTCGTTCAAAATTTATCGTTAAATTTTGAAAAAAAAGGTGAAATTTAAATGTATTAAAATAGACTAAAACTGATAGTTTATGTTCTAAATACGTTAAGTTTTTAATGATGAATACTAAAATGAAACAAAAACTAAATGTTAAGTATAATTTAGGGGAAAATTGAAAGTTTAAATATTAAAATTGACCAAAACTGATAATTTATGTATTAAATTGATAACTTGATAAATATATACATTAAATTTTAACTCTACTTATCCCTCCGACAAGCTTGATGTAAAAGGTTCCAATGGGGTTCAACATGCTAGTAATTGGACAATGACTTGTTTCATAGCGTGGCATAACAAATCTAATTCCATCGCTTCTCTCATCGTCATTCATGTAATAATCATGGAGTTGTGTCTTAGCTACTTGAATGGATAATGTAATGAACGAAGTGGTGCCATCAGCTGGAAGCCTCATTTATGGTCCAATTAAACTCGGTGCTGACTCAGTTCCAGTCAGGTTGTCAATCCATCCAAGTTTGTCGTGTTTAACAAGACAGGGCAGTGATGGTGGGGAATATTTTGAGACATAATAACGCACCGCATCATGCCAATGTCAAATAAACCGCCTGGTTCTTTATTTTATGAACTAAACAAACCCTAAACCGGAACCTGGCCTCTGATAACCTTTCTCGAGGTACACTCCGTCCAGTGTTTAGACCCTGTTTTATGTTCTTGGATGATCCGAGTTTAATAGAAGTATTATAACTCAGAGAAAGAGCATGTTGGGGTTGGATTATGACTGATGCCCTGTCACGGAGTGCCAACTGCCACCATGTTGTGCGGGAAGGTCAATCAAAATGTTCAAAGCCACTAATTATTAAAGTTAAAGCAAAAGTGAAAAAATAATCGGCGATTAAAAAAAACTTTAATCACAAAAAGTATTTGGACCAGACATCAGTATATAAGTACCGCACCTGAGATTTAGCCAACCAAGTGAAACAACTTTTACTTTTAAATGTTTATGAAGTGGATAAGATCTCCACTGATCCACTCCATCAGAAACTTCCTTTTGTCTCACCTTCTTAACCGAGAAGAAACTCTCCTCGAAACTGCAATTCTACACGGATTTTACACATTTTCTCTCTCCTGATTCGAGTGTAGAACTCTGGGTTTTGACCTTTCGGATTAGAAAGAAACGTACTTGATGGGTGGCTATTAGATTGAGCAAAGAATATTAAAACCTTAGAAAAGCTTCTTGATTCTTTATTAACAAGTACATGGTTTATATATGCACAGCAACAGATTACCTAAGCAAGTAATCTGGTGTAACAGAATGCAACAAATTAACTGCACTATAACCACACAGCATTCTACACATGCAGTCGGTTACTTCAGCTATATTCTAGATGATTACTTCAACAATGTTCTAGAATTCTAGAATATTTACTTCAATATTCCCCCTACTTTTTCTCCTCTCAACTTCAAAAAATGACAGTACACCAAGCCTTTGCCTGAACTTAACAAAACTTTCTTTCACCAGTGCCTTAGTAAGTCCATCAGCCACCTGCTGTTCAGAGGGTACAAAGTTCACTTGAAGCTGCCCTGTAGCAACCCGTTCCCTCACGAAGTGTATATCTAACTCCACGTGCTTTGTCCTAGAGTGATACATTGGATTCGCACTCATGGCAATTGCACTGGTGTTATCACTCCACACCACTGAAGCAGCTTGAACTTGAACCTTCATATCAGTCAACAACGCTTCAAGCCAAACAATATCAGAGGTGGCATCAGCTAGACTCCTGTACTCAGCCTCTGTGGTGGATCTCGACACTATCTTCTGTTTCTTTGAGCTCCATTGAACCATACTACCACCAAGGAAGACACAAGTACCCGATATAGACCTCCTATCATCAACATTGCTTCCCCAATCGGCATCAGCGAAGGCCACAAGTTGAAACGGTTCTGTTTTTGGAAAAAACACCAAGCCATAATCAAGTGTCCCCCTAAGATATCTCAGTACACGTTTAACAGCCACCAAATGCTGTTCACATGGTGCATGCATGAATTGTGCTAGCTTATTCACACAATAAGCTATGTCTGGCCTTGTATGACAGGCATAAAGCAAAGACCCAACTAAGCTTCGGTATTCTCCTGCGTTTTCTAATAAATTGCCTGCATTATTACTTGACAGTTTAATCGACGTAACCATAGGCGTATGAGTTGTTGTAGCCTCGCTCATTCCAGACTTCTCGAGCATCTCCATTATATACTTCTTCTGGCTAAGAAACAGCGCACCATCAACACACTTAACTTCAATTCCAAGGAAAAAATTGAGTGTACCCAAGTCTTTGAGTGAAAACTTCTCTCCTAGCATCTTCACAACTTGTTCCACATCCTCATTTTTGCCTCCTGTAACAATAATATCATCAACATAGGCTAAAACATATGTGCTAGTACGACCACTATGTTTAATAAACAATGAGTTATCTGCACGAGAGCTTTGAAAACCCAAGTCCACCAGAAAATTTTTCAGCTTGGAGTACCAATTCCTTGGTGCTTGCCTCAACCCATACAAGGCTTTCTGTAGCTTGCATACCAACCTCGTTCCATCTGTAGTCTGTTTCTCAAAGCCTTGAGGTTGTTCCATGAACACCTCTTCATTAACTCACCATTTAAAGGCATTATTAACATCTACTTGCCTTAGGCTCCAGCCATCGCGAGCAGCAATTGTCAATACAACATTTACTGTTGACATTTTTACAACATGACTAAACGTTTCTTGAAAGTCCTGACCAGGTACCTGTGAAAAACCTTTAGCCACGAGTCTGGCTTTGTACTTTTGTACCGATCCATCCGCATTACGCTTGACTCGAAACAACCATCTACAGCCTACAGCAGTTCTTCCTTCTGGAAGGGAAACAAGTGACCAGGTATTGTTCTTTGAAGCTTCATACTCAGCAATAACAGCATCCTTCCACAGCGGATCCTCGAGGGCTTCATGAATATTTTGAGGTTCAACCTCATTTATAATGGTACTATTCTGATAAGCAGATACACCACTGAGGGTTGAGGAGTATACCTTGGGTCTGAACACTCCACTTTTGCTGCGTGTTACCATGTGGTGACCTGTCACAGGTGGTAATGTCTCACACTGACCATGATCATTTCGACTATTACTGCTCGATCCTTCATTAATTCGAGTCGAGGAGGCCCTCGAATTTTGTTGTGCAAACACATTCTCGTCTGGGTGTTCATCCTCATCTGCTACATTATTTCCTGACGTCACAGGCTGTACCTCTGACTCATCAGTATTAACCATAGGATTAACATCATGTGCTTCTCTTCCCATGCAGACACGTTGTGCACCTCCTATGATAGGAATTTTCATACCATTCCTACGCAATGCACACTTGCATCCGGACTTGCTGCTTGACGCTGCAAAAGGAAAGAAATCTTCATCAAAAATAACATGGCGTGAAATAAACATTCGGCCATCAGAGTCCATGCATTGGTATCCTTTGTGTTGAGTGCTATATCCCAAGAACACGCACTGTGACGACCGATAGCTGAGTTTGTGATTATTGTACGGCCGTAAGTGGGGAAAACAATAGCACCCAAAGACACGAAGGTAGCTGTAGTCTGGTTTCTTGGTATATATCATCTCGTATGGTGATCTGTCTTGAAGAATGCTAGTAGGCAACCGGTTAATGAGATGCACAGCAGTGCACACTGCATACGACCAGAATTTAAATGGAATTGAGGCTTGTGCCATGAGAACCAAGGCTGACTCAATGATATGTCTATGTTTCCGTTCGACCACACCATTTTGTTCGGATGTATGTGGACATGCTAGGCGATGCACAACGCCTAATGACTTAAGCCATGCCGAGACTGATCGATACTCACCTCCCCAATCGCTTTGAACTTCTTTTACTGCGGCATTAAATTGAGTTTGTATGAGACTGAAGAACAATTGAAAGGTTGATAGAACCTGATCCTTGGTTTTGAGCAGATAGATCCAACTATGCCTCGTGTATGCATCAACGAAAGAAACATAATATCGGTACCCATTGGAGGCTATGTGTGCTGGACCCCATACATCACTGAAGATTAAGTGAAACGGTGTGGTATACACAGTTTGAGATTGATTAAACAGCAACTTATGGCTCTTTCCCAATCTACAAGCAACACAAATTGAATTGCCAACAGTATTATTTCTAGAAGGAAACATTACACCAACTTGTTTACATGCTTGCACAAGTACAGGATGAGCATGATGCCCAAGCCTCTTGTGCCATAGTTGATATTTCTTATTACTACTATTGAAATATTCGACTACTGTGGCATGACAAGCTTCCAAACATTCTGCATTTGTTATGAACTGATAAAGACCTGCATTCTCTTGTCCCTTAAGCAACACTGCTCCAGTCACCTCATCTTTAACCAAGCACGACCCCGCATGAAACTCAAAAACACCTTATTGTCTAGCAAACTTGGACACAGAGAGAAGATTTTTGGTTACTGAAGGCACATGCAGTAATCATTAAGAACCAGCACACGAGAATTAGTAGTTATACTTGAAGAACCAGCTCGAGCTATACTCAGGCTGTGCCCATTACCAACAACTACCTTACCTGGTCCAGTGTAATCCGAGCTAGTAGTAAGGTTCGAGGCATCAGGAGTGATGTGGTGGGTAGCTCCCGAGTCTACAATTCATCGACCAGAATTTGAGGATGCAGTATGTGCTTGAGCATGCATACCACTGCTGCACGACTTATATTCATCTAGCACAGTGTGATGCGCTTCAGTGCCTTCATTTTTGTCAGCCAACACGCCTGGAACGTCTGATCGAAGCGATGCCAGCAGCGATCAACTGAGTGTCCATTCTTTCCGCATAGCTGACACTGCAACCGCGGACGACCACGCCCACGCCCTGCAGATTTGTTGCTTCTATTGTAATTGTCATTGTAGGCCTAAGCTGAAGATCTATCATTGCCACGACTGCTTGACCGTATAGTAGCCACATTCGCACTCATAGGGAGGGATTGTTGAGACAAAAAACCACTCAATTGTGACTCAGCATCCATCAAGATTGTTTTCACACTGTCAACAGAAAACACATCTCTGCTTGCAGTAATCACAGCTACAATGGTTGATATTCAACCGAGAGACCATTGAGAATGGTAGCAATTTGTTCAAGATCCGAGATCGCACTCCCACACGATGCAAGTGCGTCGCACACTTCTTTAACCTTCGTAAGATAGGACCTCATGCTGTCATCGCCCTTCTTGATTGATCGAAGTTTGCAATGTAGACTCATCACGCTCGCAGTCGAGTGATTAGCAAAGAATTTCTGAACCGTTCGCCATACATCAGCCGCTGTTTCAGCTCCTACAAACTGAGGCAGCAAGGGATCGCTGATCGTCGACAGTAGCCACGATGCAAGAGCAGTGTCCTGAGCACAAAGTTTTCATAGTCTTCATTCACAACACTAGCACCTGACTCATCAACAATTCGAGCTGGTGGTGACAGTACTTCTCCATTTAGCAGCCTCTCTAATCTGTGGCTGCGAACCGTGAGCAATACTTGTTGTTTCCACAGCAAGAAATTCGCTTCATCCAGCATAATGTTGATCTTCTTGTGAGTGAAGACCTTGCTGCTGCGAGCAGTTTCGCCGAATTCGAAGGCAACATCGTTGTAATCACCCATGAGGGCAGTAATCTTCCAGGATCAAAAGGCGAATGATACCATATTAGATTGAGCAAAGAATATTAAAACCTTAGAAAAGCTTCTTGATTCTTTATTAACAAGTACATGGTTTATATATGCACAGCAACAGATTACCTAAGCAAGTAATCTGGTGTAACAGAATGCAACAAATTAACTGCACTATAACCACACACAGCATTCTACACATGCAGTCGGTTACTTCAGCTATATTCTAGATGATTACTTCAACAATGTTCTAGAATTCTAGAATATTTACTTCAATAGTGGCAACATATCTGTTGAAGGGGATGGCGGCGGTCCTCCATCAAGGCCAAGACTTGGTGACATACCAGAGAGCTGCGCGGCCTTGATCTTAGCGCAGTTAAACCCGCCAGAGATTTGCAGATTGGCTCGGTTTAACCGATCGTTTTGCAGTGCTTCATCGGCTGATTTTATATGGGAATAGAAACTACCCTCCGACTATAAGTTCATCATGGAGAAAGTACTGCTAGCTGATGCAACTTTGAAAAATCTGCAGAAGAAAGAACTTTATGCCAGGCTGTGCAGGCCTAATCCCTTAGATGGTGGCACAAAGGTTAGCATTATTTAGCACTAGTTCTCATGGTTTCCATGTGGTTTACGTTACTGATCGAACAGTGGCTATTGACCAACTATGTGCAGGAGATATGGTTAGAGAAGAACAAAGGTGGAGTTTGTTTATCGATTTCATCCAAGGCGTTGGCAATCACCGGGATCGATGATCGGAGATATTGGAGTCATATTTCCACTGAGGAATCTAGGTGTGTTTATCATTTCCAGATTTTAAATTAATCTCTTCCATTGTGGAGTTGAAGAAAGGATACGATTGATATGATATGTAATAATTTTGGGACTTTGGTGTTATTAATCCTTTTCGTTTTAGTCATATTTCTAACCCAAGCTCTTCCCTTTGATTTGATCTTTTGCTGCAGATATCCTACAGTAGCATACCTTCAACAAACATGGTGGCTTGAAGTAGATGGAGAGCTCGAGTTTCAATTCCCTGCATGGACATACAACCTATTCTTTAGACTCAAGCTCGGGAAATCCTCGAAGAGATTCGGTCGTTGGGTTTGCAACTCAGAGCACATCCATGGATGGGACATAAAACCGGTCCAATTCTGGTTAACAACTTCGGACGGTCAACATGCCGTTTCTCGGTGTCATTTAGACAATCCGAGGAACTGGGTTCTTCACCATGTCGGAGATTTTGTTGTCATTGACAAAAATAAAATTTTCAATGACACAGATCGATTGCACTCATACAAAAGGAGGCCTTTGTGTTGATGCCGCATTAATATACCCCATTAGTGTAGGGAAAGAGGTTAAATCATGTTAGTGAGAAACTAAGGGACTGTTTATTTATTTCACAATGATTAAGCGTTGAATGATTCAGAGACTCTGTATGAATTAACTCTGAATGTGACATGTTTGATAATGACTCTGAATCATTCAGAATGTACTTCTGTATTGAATCATTCAGCACTGTTTTGTTAAATCAGTCAGCACTGAATCATTTAGAGATGCGAAACAAAAGCGCTGAATGCTGAACCGTTCAGCATTCAACGTTGAATAGTTCCATTAAGAGGCAAACAAACAGTCCCTAAGAGGTGTAAATACTAAATACCGACCACATGTAGAGTCAAGGTTGTTTTTGTAGCTCTCTCGTAGGGTTGTACCATGTGAGGAATAGTGCCTGCAATTTTTGTCTTCTGGTTATTATTTTTCCTCAAATAACAGATTTTACTGCAATGGTGCTTTGTTCTGCAATGCCACACACTAGGAGCTTGAGCCAGGTTGTTAAACTGGTGGTGTTTGAATTAACTAATCGAATTGTTTTGTCCGGTAGGACCAATGCAGTTCTAGTTCTCATAACCGATGGAGTCGAATAAAAAAAAACAGCTTGCCTTGAGTTACAAGAAGTAGTTGCCTTGAGTTACAAGAAGTAGTAGCCTTGGTTTTCATATCATTATGAACTACTTTGTTTCATAGAGACTATGATATCATGAGCTTTTTGCATAAGCAAACTTTTATTATACAGAAGGAGATAGTTTTCTTCTTCTCCTATTTTCGGATAAACAAATTTTTAAGCTTTCCTTTTTCTAACCTCTCGAGTAGCTTCTTGGCACCGGTGATTTCCATTTCTGAAAGCTTCTTGAGATACCCGATTGCTCCATATGATATCATGAGCTTTTTGCATTTCTTACTCGACGAGAGAGATGATAAGCATGAAACTGCATACTTCTTTGCAGTGTTTTGGGGGCTTGGATCAAGCAACTGAACCAGATTCGGCACGCTTTTATCATCCTTTTTTACTTCTCTGCAATTATGAGAGATGGTTACTAAGCTTGATAGGGATTGAGCAGCTACCTCTCTCGCACTGTTTGATTTAGCTTCGAGAATTCTGATGAGAAAAGTGATGCAGCCAGCTTCACCCACCAGTTTTTTCATTTCACTCGAACTGCAAACTTGGCAGATGGCTGATGCAGCAGCTTGTTGTGCTCCTAATGATCCGGATTTAAGCACGTGAACTAATCGAGGGAGGAAATTAAGTGACATCAGGACTTCAGTAGAAACCGAACCAACCAAATTCCTCAAGGCTGCAACCGGAGATTCCTGGGGCAAAGGACCATCAAGGTATACCAATAGACTTCGGATTCCACCTTCGGATATGACAGACCTCAGATTCTTGTTGCTGGCAGTTAGATTCTGCAAGCACTCTGCAGCATATTCTTTGGAGCCCAACAAAATTCCGCAGTCGAGGAGATTGATCATGACCTTTATTATTCCTTCCTCAGCTAGTATTTGTCTAATATCGGGAACAGATGATATGTTTTTTAAAGTACAAGCAGCCGCCGCCTGTGAAACGGAGTCTCCAACCTGGCAAATTTCAATTAGAGGTGGAACCCCACCATGGCCAACAATTGCACGGGCTGTTTCTTCAGTCATCGATAATCTCTGCAGTGAAATTGTTGCCTTCTCTCTACCAACAGTGCTGCCGGATTCGACCAGCCTTATGAGAGGCGGCAAAACACCTTCTGAAACAAGCCAGCACTCACAACTCCCAGATTCTGCAAGCGAGCAGATTACAGACGCTGTCTTTTCCCGGATACCAGGTGAATTTGCTGTTAACAGCTGGATAAGAGCAGTGACATTACTCCGTCCCATAAGAGACAACACACTCTTTTCATCCTCCTTCATGACCTCAACAAGGTTGTCCACAGCTTTGTGCTTTGCTTCCAAGTGCCCAATCTGAAGCCGTGCAAACAATTCCTTAAGATGGCAACGTGCTGTGGTCTCCGACTCCAATGAAGAACCGACAGAAGATAAAGGCAAAGTAACTTCACCAAGTACACCAGTCTTGATAAGAAATCCGATATCCCGTAAATTCAGATCCAATTTCCCCGATAGTGCATCAAGATCACTCTGCATCTTAAGCTTTCCCTCAACCTTCTCCTTTAGACATAAATCTGCCAACTCAATTGCTTCCTTCAATGTTTTCGATAAAACCTGCAATTGCTCCTTACAAAGAGCATTTCTCGAGAATAAAGGATGGCTCGACAAGTCCGATAAGAACGATGTGATCTGTTCCAATTTGGAAATTATCATCTTCAACCTACCAAGGAACCCCTTCACCTCCCTTGCCTTAACAAGTGCCATGGGAACAAGCTTTTTAGCATAGGATAACAATTCCTCAGCCGATCGAGCATCAGCTGAAATCCCATTTCCAGTATCTTCTCCCATTATTCAGATACGGATTTAGATATTACAAGAGCTGCATCAAGCGAAATTCATAGAAACTGATGAGAATAAAAAAAGGATAAGTAATAAGGAAGAAATGATATTTTCATTTTTTTTAAAAAGGGAAAAAGCAGTGGAGCAGGTGGAATCATTCAAGATTTAAATCATAAACTAGAGTTTCGAGAATATTGTGTTGATCACACAAAGCTTGCTTACTGAAAATAAGACCCAACCAACAAATATTGCTCACACGAGCTCTTTCCTTTGCTTTATCAAGTGATCATTAAATGTCAACTAGAAACTAATAATCTTAGGAAACCATGTGATCATCCACATATATTAAAAACCTACAAGATATTATAGTTTATGAAAAAGACTGCAGTTTCATCAATCAGCCGTCCATGAATATCTGATCAAAGTACCAAAAAACCCAAATAATTCAAGGGGTATATTGGAAAGTAACTGGAAAAAATGCAAAAGAAGATCAAATCCTTTACTTTTCAACAATGAAAATCATGGAATCAGATTTTAGTAGAGATCTTTGATATATCTTCACCCAATTCAAACCCAAAGGTCAAGAATTTTCATGGCAATGAAAGCAAAAGCTGGATTCTTAGCCGCAATCCCCATTTTAACCCCCAAAATAGTGTGTTTCAGCTTATTTCATGACTTCCCTTGGAAGAGAAGATAGGGCAATGGAGAGGGAGTCTCTATCCAAAGCTGTGTACTTCGAGCAACCCCACTAATGAGATATACTTTGACCAAAGATTCAAAGCAATAAATTATGAAAAGAAATATACCTCAAATTGATTGGAGACTGGAGTTTCCTTGAAATTCACAGTACTCTACCGTCTACAGCCACCAGATAGTCACCATTAGTGTTCTGTGTGAGCCAAACAACTTGAAGGGCCACTGAGACCGACCTTTAAGACCCGGATGCTCTAAGATTTGTCCTTTTTTTCTTTACCAAGCAATCGAGTGTAGTAGCTTCATCCTCAAACTTCCCTTTCCCAGAAAATGCATCCAAGAATCAGCAGCAGCCCACTGTTTTTTGTACTAAAAGAAAGAAAAAACCTTTTCTTTTTACACTCTGAATTGGAAGCCTGCAACGACAGTGAAACTTCCAAACTCGGCAATCAGATCTCTATCTAAGAATCAGAAATACCCAGAACTCAGTTTTTGTTTCCTAATCAAAGATATCTCAAGCTATGAAGAAAAACACCAGCACAAGATTTAAAAACCGAGAAAAAACAAATTAAGAAAGAGACTAGTGTTGGTTTATTCAGTGTTCAGACATGAGTGTTTATATGTCGAGCAACTTTGCGGGATTATACGGTCGTGATTATTGCTTGCGACATTGGATCCGACCGTTGTGATTAGGTGAAATTTTGAATTTGGTTTTCATTTTACAATGTTTTTTAAGTTACCCCATCCACTAACATTGGAGTTATAAATGTTACGTCAGTCATATGATAAAAAAAATGTTATTGAAAATATTAATATTTTTTTAATATTTTTGGTAAAATAATATTTAAAATATTTTTTCAGAAATATTAATATTGGATATTATCTAAAATGTTTAATATTTATGGTAAAATACAACCTAAAATATTATCTTTTTACTAAAAATATTAATATTGAGTGTTACCTAAAATGTTATTTTTTCTACTAAAATTAGGTAACGAAATTAATATTTTTAATAAAAAAAACAATATTTTAAATAACACTTTATTAAAAACATTAAAAAAATAATATTTTTAATAAAATATTATTTTAACCGTATATTAAGACAGTCTTACATAGTAACTATCCGAATTCCATGCAATGTGCTTAGAGGCGATTTTTTTTTCTTCAGGGCATAATGCCTATAAAACAGACGTGGGATGCTTAAAAAGTGAAATGGTGCGTGTGGTTGGCTTTAGCGTCGGCGTGGGAAGGATGTGACGCTGTCGTTTGTCGCCTATACTAACTCAAACCATTTGTCTTTGATTGTCATTCTTCTTTTTGTCCTTTTCTTGATATTTAACCAGTTTTTTTTGTTACCCGGCCAACCGTGCATTGCCTGGGAAAAACTACACACTTAGGGATGACAACGGATTGGGTTTGGGTCGGATGTCGATCCGATCGAACTAAAATATGCACCAAATATAACCTGATTCGACATGAAAAATATATATCATCTGAATTCGATTGGTTTGATTTTTTAGAGTGTAAATATGATCCGACTAATTCGGTATAAATTAAGGATTTAATTAAAAATAATAATAAATTTTTAAAGAAATTACATTATTATCATCGGGTCGAGTCGGATTAGAGTTTTTTCACCCTCCACCTGAACTTGACCTGACTCGATTTCACCTATAAAAATCTGATTCAATTGGGTATAGGGATAGCAACTCAACCCAAACCTGACGGGTTCCGACCCGACCCGACCCAATTGGGTCAGATTTTTTTAAAAAAATTCGGGTTCAGGTAGGGTCGGGTTTTTTTAATGCACTGTTCGGGTCGGGTCGAGTTTAGGGTGGAAAAAATCCGACCGACCTGAAATATATATAATTTTGCCATATATATTAGGGATAATTATAATAATACCCCTCTATATATAATTTTTTCAATTAAGTCACTGTTTTTATTGAATAAAAATATTTTTTTTATTATTTCGGATCGGGTTGGGTTTCTAAGTCATATATTCGGGTCGGGTTGGGTCACGGGTGGAGGACCCTTTCTTCTCGGGTCGGGTCGGATGGCTCAAAAACCCAACCCGACCCATTGCCATCCCTAATTGGGTCAGAATCCATCAGATGCGGGTGAAATTTTCATCGTTAAACATACTTTTAATTTTTTAAAACTATACTTATCATTTAGTTTTTATTTCATTTTAGTACCTGTCGGTCGAGCTCATCGATCGTCGTGTCTACCGTTGTCGGTCATCGCATTTATCAGCCGATGAAGCCCACACTTTTTAGTCTGCATCTTTTCAACCCCTAAACGTGATTTCGGCCTTCATTTTATTGGAAAATGCCTCAATCTTCCCAAATAATATTATAAATAGAATACCCGGAGAAGGTTGATGCTAGAAGCTCTTTATCTCCACTTGTGGGGAGTGGGGGAGAAACCACAAACAGAGGTTCAGTAGAGCCACCATCAATAAGTGTTCGTATGTGTGCTGAAATTGAAGTAAATTATTCAGCTTTGTATTTAATGGAAGTTTCTTTGTTTGTGGTCTATGTTAGATTCATCATGAAAATACGATACCTTTATGTTGACGAAAACGGGTAAAGAAAACAAAAGAACACGAGAATTTTATGAGGTTCGGCAATGTGCTTACGTTCTCGGTGCCTAGGCGGCGCTAGAAGTTTTATTCAATGATATTTTAGGTCTAGGTTACATCTCTATTTATAATATAGAAAACACTGGTACATAATTACAAAATCAACTCTGTACCGTACCGCGGGGGCTAAGCCCCCGCACCCACAACCCACATAATTCGTAACCCCACAACGAGACTTTCTTTGTAAGGACAGTTGATGTTCGCTGCGTTCACTTCGCTCACTCCGCTCCATCTCATGTCCTCTTTACTGGTATATTTATGAGCCATACCTAACACTTTATTTACCCTTCAACAAGCATACATTAAAATTTATAGATCAAATTCTGGTTAAGGGAAGAAAAGCTAAATGAAAATCACTTTGGCAGAAGGCTATTTCCAAGTCACTGCAATGGGACTTCTAACTCTGTATTTTGAAGGCACCCACACTAAGGATCCAAAAGATGAGCTAGCGACTGTCTTCTTTCTGCTCAGTCCTATGAAACTCACCTTGTAACTCACTTCTTCATTCATCTTCGACAGTGATGTTATATATTAAGCCTGGATCAGAAGCTTTGATGGGGTCAACATGGCCTGAACCGATACCGATGGGCGATTCCAAGCCATATAATCCAATATCCGCTATAGTTTTTCCCCTGTTGTCCATAGTATAACCAGTTGTCATGAGGGCTGATTTGACTGCTGCAGGTGACCAATCCTTGTGCTTTGATTTAATCAGTGCTGCAATGCCACTAACATGAGGGCAAGACATCGATGTGCCAGAAAGTATATTAAATAACCCCCTTCTCTTGTCGCTATTGAGCCTGCTTGGGCTAGTCTCGGCTGGCCATGCTGTTAATATGTCAACTCCCGGTGACATTGCATCCGGTTTGATCACATCAGGCCCGACTAAATTTGGTCCTCTAGATGAAAATGCTGCGACATTCGGTGCACGATTGCCATAAGTTGTGCCCTTGAACGCAATGGAAGCTTTTGGTGCTTTAGTTGAGTTCACGTACTTCAAGACAGCTTTACTGGCTATGGCTCCTAACATAGCGGATGGTAAAACGTGAGCATCGGTGGTAAGATCTTCACCTTTGGGTCATTATTAACATTCCAGTCCCACCAGCCAATTTCACTTGCTCTCCCCTTTCGACAGGGTTCATAAATCCTCCTTGTTCACATAAACAATTTTGTCTTTCACGAGCTCGGGATTGAGTGAGTCAGGAAAGCAATATTCAGCACCAGAACCACCAGCAGTTGTCTCATATACAATCGACAAAGACTTTAATGCCTTGTCATTGTAGACAGATGACCCTTCAAAACTTTGTCCGTTTCCCAGCTTAATAATTCTCGGGAAGCTTCGATCCATGGTGCTTCCTACTACAGTCATGATCCACGATGCGGTATTAACAGCGGTAGATGCCTCCGGTCCACTATTGCCTGCACTAAAAGAAACGAAAATCCCACTTTTGAAAGCATAATAAGATGCAATAGCAAGATAATCTTGGTAATAAGGCTCAGCTTACGAAATGGATCCCAAAGAGAGTTAACACATCAACCCTATCTTCAATGGCTTTCACCATAACCATTAGGATATCAACGCTTGTACATCCTGGCCAACATACTTTATAAGTTACAATCCTCGTTGTGTACGTCATTCCTGCCGCTGAGCCATTGGCCAAGCCAAAAAGATTCGCATGTTCAATGAAATCCCCAGCTGCTGTCAATGCGGTATGTGTAACATCACAAATCAGGGTCAGTGACTAAATTACAAATTTTGAAAACTATATGCTCGATTTCGAAATAAGTTAAAAGTTCATAGATTTAATTGAAGAAATTTGATGTTGGATTTAATAATAAAGTTGGAAAGTAAAAAGGGCATTGTGGTCTTTTCTAAGAGAAGATTTGTATTCTCTTTTTTTAAGGAATATAAAAACGTGTGAAATGAGGAAAATCTATCTAGAGTCTTATTCTTTAGCTTCTTCTTCAGCTTCTTCTTCTCCCCATAAGTGTCAGTTAAAGGTGAGTTTAATTTCAGCTGTTTAATTCTTGGATTTATAAGTTGATTTTGATTCTTTTAGTATTATATAAGCTTAAGGAAAGCTTATATAAGCTTTAAACATCAAGAATAGAGAATTAAAAAGGAAATTATATGAAGGGTGTAGAAATGAACTTTTGTTATAGAAAGGTTTTTGAAGTTCTAAATATGGATTTGACTTGTCAAAGGGTTAATTAAGAAGTTAGAGGTGATAAAATTGAATTTAGAACACATGGAAAATTTGATGAAATTCTTTGATTCAAGAAATATGGTGAATTTTGAGATATGGTGAAGTGTTATAGTATTATAAGAATGTTTAAATATGTATAGATAAGTTTTAAGGTATAAGGAAGGATTAATAAGTAGAATTTGGGGTCAAAACAAGACATGTCCGTGCTTAAAATGTAATTATGGGTAGTGTGCATTGATGCATCTTCAATGTGTATCGATGCACTCTCAAATAAATGAACATCGAATGCAATTAGTGCATCGATGCATAAGGAGTGCATCGATGCACCCCCTTAAAATGAAAACATCGAAGGTGATTGGTGTATCGATGCATGGGTAGTGCATCGATGCATGGGTAGTGCATCGATGCATGGGTAGTGCATCGATGCACATGTTAAAGAATGCATCGATGCACTGTAGAATGTATCGATGCACTTCAAAGGGGAAATAGAAATAGACCTTTCTTTTGGTCTAAGAAATGATAGATTAGAGTATATCAATTGGATATTGATATGTATCAATGTGTGATTGTGTAGATATCGATTGAGAGCAAGTTCCATAATGATTAAAAGGTTAGAATTGATCAAGAAGAGAAAGAAAGCCATAGGAGTAATTGATAGCAAGTGAGGCCAAGGTGAGTGCATTTTATTACATCGAATTATATGGGAATTGACTTGTGATAAGTCTATTTCCGATAGTATAGTACATGAAGTGATTAAAATAAAATGTATGCATTCTTGATTGTATGAGTGTATATATATATGCTATGTGAATATATGGTTATGGAATAAAGTATATGGTAATACAATGTTATTTGAGTTACTTAACAATGAGTTATAAGATTACAAGCATATGTAACATAAATTATAAGATAAGAAAATATGTGCTTACATGTATTTGCGGATATATATATATGAGATATGTTTATGTAAAACCATGCAAAGTGATATGAGAAGTGAACTACACGATTATGTGATCATATGAGAATGAGATAAAGAGTCATGAGATATATGAAAGAGGAAGTATAGGTGATACGTGAAAGTGAATCATATGATTATACGTATATGGATGACATGAATTGTATGTATGTATGATTATATGAGTTAACATGCTTTTGTATGTAATGATATAAGAAGTATGTGCTATGTGATATATATATATATATATATATATATATATATATATATGAACATATGTGAAACTGAACTATGTGATTGCATGAGAAAGATATGAGCCATATGACATGTGATATGAAAGTGTATATATGAAATGATATAAAGATAAATGCCCATGGTATATGATATGAGAGCGATAGGTATAGTTGGCATGCCAAGAGTCGAGGGTTTACCTATGTTCTACGGAACATATGTACATAATTACCTATGTCTTTCGAGAGATATGGATAGTATACCTATGTTCTAAGGAACATATGGACATTTTACCTAGGTTCTTCGGGACCTATAGACAGTTGCCGAGGTTCTTTATGACCTTTGGATAGGTTCTTCGGGACAAATTTCATAGCCCCTAGTGGGACCCCATACGAGCTGTGGTGACAGCATAGTGCACAACCTCAATAGACTCACATATCTACAGTTCTCACAGGTGTACATGGGCTAATAAGAGATAACATTGAATATAATATATGTGATGTATATAGGTGTTTTGCGATATGAATTATTTGATTTGATATGATATGTGTGTGTTAGTGATTATTGTATATGTTATAAGATATAGGATATGAACATAATGGATCATATAAACAAGAGAATAGAAATATGAATGGTGATAATATGATAATGATAGGAAGATAATTATGCATGTGTATTTGATATATATATATGAATGGATATATGTTTGGGTATGATGTGATAGCAGTAATTGTTCATGCATGATTACACGTTATAGTTTACATTATATGTTTATTGCCTCACTAAGTCATAGACTTAGCGTGTGATTGTTTCACACGTAGGTTACAGAAACGAGAAGAGAAGTAAAGAAGAGCAAGACAAGTCAGCATCTCCCTTACAAAATTTCAGATCAGAAAATAGATGATTTAAATGTGTTTGGTTAATTTGAATATAGTTGGCATGTACTAATTGATTGAGTTGAATATGCTCTGATCGATTTTGGGTAATTTGGTCAATTATGTAAAGAAACCGCTTTTATTTTAATGAAAGTTTTAAATTTGCTTTGAATTTTGTCAAGAGTCAAAGTTTGAAAAGTCAATGTGACACATCAGACTCGTATTCGAATCGGGTATCGGTTGGGGGTGTTACAATATGTGTCCCGTGTCCAGATGTATCTCTTGCACACAAATATTTCTCTGTTTCATTGATTCTAATGCCTGTGGCTATATAGCCTCCGTAGAATTCGACGGTGAGAATCTGGTGCCTTTTTCACGAGCACCTCTCTGTCTTTTCGGTACAGTAGGTAAGCCATGGTCCCGGAAACTAACATGCTCGGGCCAAATCCCACTGTCCACCACACCAATGATCACATCCGAGTGTAAATTAGGACCCCAAAGTCCCTTTTTGCTTGTAAGCCAAGAAACCGCGGACTGTGAGTGGTGTGGAGGCTTAGCATTTTATCAGGAACCGCAGACATGAAACCATCCATATTTTTCAACGATTCTAACTGCTTATGAGATAGTTTTGCGGCAAATCCAAAGAAGGCGGTTTCGTAGGAATACAATAGCTCGGAAGGCATCACTTCCGGTTTCTCTTGAGATGAGACATCATCAGCTAAAGAATCAAGGACAGCTTGGTGCCATGGCTTGCAATTGGCAAGGCAATTATAGGTGTTTGTGATCTTGGTCTTGTCCATACGAACTATATACGTTTGTTTTTCGGCTGAAGCAGTTGAAATAGCGGCAAGGGATGCTATTAACAGCAACATGGCGTTGAAATTCTTCATGCCTAAAGAAATAGAGAGAGAAAAAAAGACAAAAAGAGTTAATTTTGCATAAGAGTAATTGAACTTAAGAATGTATTGTCAATTTTGAAACATGCTTCAGGGGCTGATTTGCATGACAATGGGAACTAAAGTATTCAAGCTGTGTTCGTAGATCGAGAGCATAGAAGAAAATGTGAGATTTAAACACTGGTGAGCATTAAGGAGGGAGCAATGCGTGGAGCAAGTTAATAACGAAAGTATGAACTTTCAAAGCTAACGAATTAAGCATGGAACTAAACAAAAATGGAATTACCAATTCTTTTCATGGCTATCTTCTAAGCCTAAGATCAAGAAGAATGAGGAAAACTAATAAGATTAAAGAATACCAACGCACGTTCAAAAAGTAAGAATGTATTGCACGAGAAGAGCACTTTTGTAGTAACCATAAGCTCCCAAGATCCCAATGATGGTGCAAATTAATTGATAATTACTTGGTCAGCTTTTTCTTTTTCTTTCTGTTCGAAACTTGGTCGGCTTTTTGGTTTCACAGGGTTCGAGCAGAAATAGTCAGTCGTTTTAGTTTAAACTTGGGATCAAGAGTTAACGATTTGACAAAATAAGTGAGTGTGCACAAGATGGACACTTGTTTCAATCATTTTTTGTATTGTTTTTCCACATCGAGGGGCTCAATCTCATAGACCCCCTACCCTGCTTGCTGGGTTTCTTCTTTTTGCATTTGACATGATTAATGGCAGCCGAGTGAACCAAGTTGGGCTGGCCCCATTACATGGAACACATGCACCAAAACAAGGTAAAAGAACAGTTAGCTTATTGTTTCTGAATACATTTTTGTTTGGGGTGGAACAAAAAGGCATCTTGTTTTCTAATTGCAAATTATTGAAATGGTCCAACTGTTAAAATTAATGATATTTCACACATATATATCAACCATCACTTGTAATAAAAACAAACTCATTGAAAACCAGATCATCTAGCTAGGTACTAAGGTCACACTTTTGATGGAGCACACAGAGTTGATTCTTTTGGCGGGTGACATTATTCTAACCCAAGCCACTTTACATAGTCTACATAAACAACCATCCAAACCAAGCATACATTAAAACTTTAAAGATTGAATTCCGGTGAAGGGAAAGATCTAAAGGAGAATCCTCGCAAATCCTTCTCAAGGATGTCTTAGATTTATGGGACTTGGCATGCAGAAAGCTACAACCAAGTCACTGCAATGGTACTTCTAACTCTGTAGTTTCTAGAAACCCACACTAAGGATCCGAATGCGCTAGCAACCGTCTTCTTTCTGCCCACTCCTATAAAACTCACCTTGTAGCTCAATTTCTCATTCAACTTCTTAAAGTTCAAAACGTTTGGCTTTACAATCACTTATACTCCTCTGGGTGATTCAAACTGATACTTTATACGTACTTTTAGGAATCCCAACATTTGTGAGGGTCCTTTTGTAGGTAAAAGTAGCATTCTGTGACTTGAGCTCGAAATTCACTGCAAAAGAAGGGTAATTCAGGTCACCAGGTTGCATAGTTGCCTTCTTTGGACATTTAAAACCATCTTCAAACAAGGATATCTGAGCCTCATTATACTTCAGGCTGCATAAATAAAGTACATAATCCTCTGCAGTGATGTCGTATATTAGGCCTGGATTAGAAGCTTTGATGGGGATCGACATGGCCTGAACCAAAAGCGAAAGGCGATGCCATGCTACCAAATGCGAGGTCTTCTATAGGTTCTCCCCTGTTGTCCATGGTATACGCAGTTGTCATGAGGGCTGATTTTATTGCTGCAGGCGACCAATCTTTGTGCTTTGATTTAATCAGTGCTGCAATGCCACTAACATGAGGGCACGACATCGATGTGCCCGAAATTATATTAAATAACACCCTCCTGTTGTCGCTCTGGACTCTGCTCGGACTAGTCTCTGCCGGCCACGCTGCGAGTATGTTGACCCCTGGTGCTGTTACATCCGGTTTGATCACATCAGGTCCCACTGAATTTGGACCTCTTGACGAAAACGTGGCGACTTTTGGTGCACAATTACCGTAAGTTGTGGTTTTGAAGACAATGGAAGCTATTGGTCCTTTAGTTGTGTTCACATACATCAAGACAGCTTCACTGGCTAAGGCTCCTAACATAGCGACTGGTAAAACGTGCGTGTCAGTTGAAGGATCTTCACCTTGTGGGGTCATTATTAACATTCCAGCTCCTCCGGCCAATTTCACTTGTTCTCCCATTTCAGGCCGCTGGACCATTCCTTGTCGACAAATGACAAGTTTTCCATTGACGAGCTTGGGATTGAGTGACCCAGGAACGCAATACTCTGCACCTGAATCACCGGCAGATTTTCCATATAGAATTGGCAGAGACTTTAAGGCCTTAACAGTACTATACAAATATGACCCTTCAAAAGTTTGACCGTTTCCGAGCTTAACAATTGCTGGGAAGCTTCTGTCCACGGTGCTTGCCGCTACAGTCATGATCCACGGGGCAGTGTTGACAACGGTGTTGGGCCCCGGTCCACTGTTACCTGCGCTAAACACGACGAAAATCCCTCTTTTGAAAGCATAGTATGATGCAATAGCATTGTAATCTTGATAATAAGGCTCTGCTTCGGATTCCAAAGAGAGAGTCAACACATCAACCCCATCTTCAATGGCTTTCACCATAGCCATCAGGATATCAACGCTTGCACATCTTGGCCAACAAACTTTATACGCTGCAATTCTTGCTGTGTACCTCATTCCGGCGGCTGATCCATTGGCCAAGCCATAAAGATTTGCATGTTCCACAACATCACCAGCTGCTGTCGATGCTGTATGCGTCCCATGTCCGTTTGTATCTCGTGCAGACAGATAATCTTCCGTTCCATTGATGCTACCGATGGAGGCTAGATAACCTTCGTAGAAATATCTGGCACCTATTAGTTTCCTGTTGCAATTAGATGGCGAGAATCTGGTGCCGTTTTTACAAGCGCCTCTCCATCTTTCCGGTACAGGAGGCAAGCCATGGTCCTGGAAACTAACATGCTCGGGCCAAATTCCAGAGTCCACCACGCCAATGATCACATCTGAGCGTATATCAGAAGATCCCCACAGCCCTTTCTTCCCTTGTAACCCAAGGAATAGTGGAGTCCGAGTGGTGTGGAGGCTTAGCATTTTATTAGGAACCGCAGACACGAAACCATCCATCTTTTCCAACGATTCTAACTGCTTACGAGATAGCTTTGCAGCGAAACCCGAAAAGGAAGTATCGTAGGAATACAGTAGCTCGGGAGGTGTCGTTTCCAGTTCGACATCAGCTAAAGAATCAAGGACGGCTTGGTGCCATGGTTTGGAATCGACAAGGGTATTGTAAGTGTCTGTGATCTTGGCCTTGTCCATATGAACTATATATGCTTGTTTGTCCGTTGAGGCAGTTGAAACAGCGGTAATGAATGCTAGTAACAGCAACATTGCATTAAAGATCTTGACGACTGAGGAAAGATAAAAACAAAAAGAGTTAATTTAACATCAAAAATGGTAATTGAACTGATCAAGCATGACTGTAGTTAGGTACGACAGTTAATCCTGCATATTGACGGTTTCAAACATGAACTTCAAAGCTAATAACGAAAGCTTGAACTACAAAGTTTAAGGATGGAAGTAAACAAAAATGGAATTACCAGTACTCTTCATGGCTGTCTTCTAAGCTTAAGATAAAGAAGAATGAGAAGACATGGAAACTGACTAGTGAACAATAGCAGATATTTATAGGCATGCAAGGCCAGCTTTGAAGTAAAAAAAAAATACTAAAAAAGTCCTTGAATTAGTTTACTTCTGTCAAATAAGACCTAATTGTTATAGCCAAATAATTCACTTCTTTTGGTACTTCCATTGCCAAATAACATAAAAGCAAGAGAAAACTCACGCAGATAACCTCAGCAGACTTACCAATATTAAAACTTTTATATTTACGCTTACTTATAAGTTTTAATACCTGTCTTGTCCTTGTAGTATACCGAAATTTTTAGTTTAGTCTCCTTTTATTTTTTTGGACAAGTATGCATTAAATCCAAAGAAACAGTCCTTTTCGGGACAGTTTTTCTTTCAAAACAATGTGTTTTAGTCCAACCCCACGCTATCACAAATTTGTGATTCACAATAAGAGTTTTTCTGGTCCAACCACACGCTATCATACAAAAACACATTAATAATTCTAAAAATTAGTAAGAAACTAAAATAAAATCACAAAAATGCAACCAAAAAAATTCCTAAAAGTCAAACTTTCAGAATTTAAAATTATATTTTCTGAAAATGTTGTTATACTTAATTATTTTAAAAAATAGAACATCATAAAATTGTAAAAAAAAAACTGCTTAAATTTCTCAAACAATATAAATTTCTGAAGAAAAAATCTCATATTTTTTTTAGAAATTTCAATACTTTTATAATTTCTAGGATTTTTTTTGCCTTTAACGGTAATTGAAATGATGAGCCTAAAAGCAGTATAGATTATGAAGTAACAGCTTGACCATAAAGAGGATCAAAAATGATTTTTTTTCTTCAAATTTTCAAAAAGGAACTTAAGAATAATTAAAATTTTGGAAAATTGTAATTTTAAAGAATAAATTTTATTTTTTATTTTCTATTATTTTTACAAGTTTTTATGTCATTATTTCATGTCATTAGTTCACGTAACGTTTTCTTCTTTTAAAAAACCGTGGGGTTTACATGGTAGATAGAAATAAAAGTAACGGATACACTTAAAACTTTAAATTCATGTTGCATCTTAAGAACCGATGAGCCATGACATGGTAGGGATGGATCTAGGTGAGGTCGGATAAGAGCGGTCATTCTCTATAAAAATTTAAAATTATCATATATTTTAGATTTTTTTAATGTATTTTCTATTAAAAATCTATTTTCATTCTCTTAAAATTTTATAAGCTTAAGTTTGTCTCTCTAAGATTTTACAAGTTTAAATTATATAAAATCATGTTCTAATCATGTGCTAACAAGAACGAGAGATTGTACTGATGGCTAAATTTGTTATTTGCATTTGATAAAAATAAAAGTCGTTGATGAATTGACACTCGCAGTTGTTCCTTTCTTCCTTTTTGCAAGTTGCAGGGAAGTGTTTTTCCCGTGGAATTATCATCACCACTTTAGTCTTCATCTTCGTCTTCTAACGCTTTTTTCTTCGTCTTTATCTTTATCTGTATTAATCAAAATAATGCTACATACCATATATATTAAAAAAATTAATAGGTCGCTGTGTTAAAATTAATTTGTTGATATGTCATCATTACTGTATATATTTTTATATCGGTATTTATAATGTTTATCTTTCGTTGTAAGTAGTGATATTTATTTATACATGTTATTTTTTCGAGTTGTTTGACTGTAATTTTAATTTCTTTAGAAGTTAATTTGTACACTTTAATAATTAAAATGATTTAATATATTTTAATTTTATTTAGTAAAATTAGTTATTATTGGTTTAAAAAATTGACAATCACTTATTTTTACGTTGAATTTTCAGTACGATAACGATCGCAGTAGCTATATCGCATATCCTTTAGAAATATCGTTATCGTCTAATATTCCTTCATCGTGCATGTTTCGGAAATAATAATGATGTCGTCCTAGCTGGTTTAACCAATCCTTGGATGGAATCGTCAACAACTTGGATTCTTTTGGCTACAATTATGGATAGCTTTATTTGATTTAATTATTGTTTTAGTCCCTCTAATATTATAAATGGTAAACCACAAACTTGCTCATTGAACTTTAATCTCTCTCCTATTTCACTCACCTTACTTTTAATTTTTTTCAGTTTACTCACTGAACTTTAGACATTAAACTTTTTTTGTTATTCGACCGTTTAATTCTTAACTCCGTCACGACCTGGCATTTTTTATTAATTTCTTAATCAATTAATATTTTATGAATATTATTTATATTTTTTATTATCCTAAATCCAATTCACTTTCCTCACCCCTCACCTTCAAAACTATCTCCATCATTGAGTAAGCATGTAATTTATCCTATTATAAAAGTAAAAGAACTAAATTGTAACAAACTAAAGTGAGGGGCACTGAGTATTTTCCAGACACCTACACTGGGGATCCAAATGATGACTTAGCTACTCCTTTTATTCTTTTTGATCCACTGAAACTCACCCAAGCAATGAAGAAGACTAAAATTTAAATAATATTTGATAAATTGAAGAGTAATATTTGAAAAAAAAGGGAGAGAAAAACATGACTAAATTTAATTTAAAAATGAATGAATAAATAAGAAAATTGCAAAAAGAGGATAAAAAATTAAACATTTTATGAATTTATAAAAATTAGGGCCCATATTATAAATATAAAAATGATTAAATTTAATTCAAAATTGAATGAATTAATAAGAGAAATGAAAAAAGATGGTAAAGACTTAAATTTTATGAAATTATAAAAATTAGGAGCCCTAATTATAAATATAAAAAATTAGAAGTTCTAATTATAAACACAAAAAAAATTGGGGGCCCTGAGCGCTCGCTCAGTGTGCTCCCTTTAGAGCTGGCCCTGCATAATTTAGTTTTTTTTTAATTTTACATAAATTTATAATTGTTGGATGAGTGAAAATATATTAGTGAAATTAACAAAAAAAAATGAAGATATTCATTAAAAAACAATGAGTCAATCCCGACCATCTATTTTCACTCATCCAATAATTTTAAATATGTATAAAATTAAAAAAAAATTATATCGTTAATATACACTTTACTTCTCGATGACCATAAATATGAATGAATATAATTTCCCCAAAATTAAAAAGATTTACATTGTATACCACTATCTTCCTTAATTTCCCAAAATTCTAGGAGAAGGTTGTTGTATGATGGAACCCTATCCAAGAATATGAAAGAATGCCTTGTATAATTTGCATTAAATTCCTGGGTTCACTGACTTTGCACTTTAGACACGATAGGGACTTTGAAAGCAGCTTTCATTGATGTACCGAAATATGAAATTAGCTTATTAGCTGTAATATGCATAATCCATGAAATTTAACCTAATCCATTTTTTCTTATTAATATATATTTTTCTTTCAGGGCTATTTTTTCAAAAATAATTATAATATTTTTATCATTTATAGATGTATCCTAATAAAAAAATATATATTATGAGAATGATAATAATTAATATAATCTGGGAGCTAGGATTTCAACTTGAAGGGCAAACTATAACTTTTTTAAAATTCAGGGGCAATTTCATAATTATCTAAATTTTATATATAAATTGATATAATCAAGGAAAAGACATTTTTCTTTCCTTTTTTTTTCAAAAAAGGGAAATGTAAGAAAAATAATGAACCTCACATGCAAATCACGTCGCAACAAAATGTAAGAACCAACGCACGTCTGGTCGGAAATCAAACAAATTCAACTCCACAATACAAAAAAGATCCCTACTTTTATTTTTTCCCCCTTAATTCACTCATTCCCTCCTTTTTCTTTTCAATCTCACATCTCTGATCTCGGAAAAGTAAAGAAAAAGAACCTATTTTTTTCTCCGCGGAATCTTTTCTTTTCATTAGATTCAGAATAAATGGAGGAACACGATCTGACTTCACCTCTCCTCTCTCCTCGATCGTCCGATCAGCCTCAAACCGTACTCACCATCCGCGACGATGAAGATTCCGATCAATTCCCGTCCATTCAGCAATTTTCTCTCCATGCTAACACTCATCATCGGAGCCACAACCAGAGCCGATTCAACAACGAGAAATTCACCGTCAACTCTCCGAATCCGTACGATTTCCTGGGATCGGGCGAGTACTCGGTCCCTGCACCGACCACCGTTGACCCGTTCCGAAACGGGACGCCGTTTATTTCGGGGGTTTACGAGGTAATAAAGATCATCCTGTGTTTGCCGATTGCTTTGGCGAGATCGGTCTTGTTCGGGGCGTGTTTGGCTGTCGGCTATGTTGCTACCAGGATAGCGTTGGAAGGGTGGAAAGATAAGCAAAACCCAATGCCCAGATGGAGTTGTAGAATCATGTGGGTCACTAGACTTTGTGCTCGCTTCATTCTCTTCTCTTTCGGGTAAGCTTAAAAAAACAGTTTTTTATTTTATTTTCTCGAGTAGGAAAATTTCTGTATACTTTCCTATTGGTTAAGTTTTTTTTTAATACTCCTAAATATTTTCTTGTAGCTATCAGTGGATTAGGAGAAAAGGAAAACCAGCTCCAAGGGAGATTGCTCCAATTATTGTATCTAATCATGTATCATATATTGAACCCATATTCTATTTCTATGAATTATTTCCGACAATCGTTGCATCAGAGTCCCATGATTCAATGCCCTTTGTCGGAACTATAATTAGAGCAATGCAGGTAATGTCCAATCTTAATCCTAGTTATCTTCTTACAAAGTTTCTGTTTGTTTCCTTCGTGCACTGAAGCTGTTTTTTTTTATGGATTATAGGTGATATATGTGAATAGATTCTCACCAGCATCTAGAAAGAATGCGGTACATGAAATAAAAGGTAGAAAGTTTCTATGACATCTGTGTTTTGTCTTGTTTCAAAGCTTGGGTTGAGGAAATGAAACTATAGAAATGTTTAGTGGTTACGAGGCTAAAGCATTATTGTTTGATAAACCGAAAAATTAAATTTTAGAATAATTTTGGAAAACATGATAAAAATTTGAATATTTTATTTTATTTAAATATATTTTTCTTAACAAAAAACATATTTTCGTTGAAAATTTTGTATTAAGTAAACATTTAGTACTCTTATCAAACACAATTAGAAAAAATAGTTAAATGTTGCAACTTTTTTATTTCACAATGTTTAGCGCTTTATCGAACACACCCTTAGCCAAGTCTAAAGAAATAAATATATAGGTTTCTTTGTCAAATTATTAGCTATTTGATACAGAAGTGTGCTTTCAAGGATCTGAATACAGAGAAGGGCTGCATGTGATAAAATTTCCTCGTGTGTTACTGTTTCCGGAGGGAACCACGACTAATGGAAAGGTCCTTATGTCATTTCAACTCGGTGCATTCATCCCGGGTCATCCGATTCAACCCATTATTGTTCGTTATCCTCATGTACACTTTGATCAATCTTGGTAGGACTTGATTTCTTTGGTATCTAATGTTCTTTCTTTGTAATTTTGTTTTTTCCTCGCACTTGCTAATTACTTTTGGCCTTGCTTGTTTAGGGGGCTTATTTCTTTGGCTAAGCTCATGCTTAGAATGTTTACTCAGTTTCATAATTTTATGGAGGTCCGTTCCGTCATCTAGCTCATTCAATTCAAAGTTTCAATGTAGTATTCCAAAGTCCAGCAGATTTCACTTTTTGTTTAAATCGCTTTCACGTTTTTCTTAATTGACAGGTAGAATATCTCCCTGTCATTATGCCCCCAAACAATAAAATACAAAGTCCTGTCCACTTTGCTGAGAGGGTGAGTCTATGCTTGTTATTTTTAGTTGTTACTTCGTTTCACCCTTGGTGTGTATTTTTAGTTTTTAAAGAGCTGAAATCCAATGTATAGATTTGTTAAGTTGTCTGTAATGTATGCTTTTTCTGATAGTGTTCGGTTTTTTAGATTATTGATTAGTTCATGTGTGTGTTGGCAGACTGGTCAGGCTATGGCAAGTGCTCTGAATGTTGTACAAACATCTCATTCCTATGGGGATTTAATGCTCCTCATGAAAGCTGCTGAAGTACAACTGCGTGCTTCTCTCAATGGTTTTTTATGAACTTGTGATTCATCTGAATATCTATTTGTTTTGATTCTATAATGAGATTTGAATTCAATTGTCTTTTATAGTTCGTGTTAATAGTTCTTTAGCATAAATTTTGCAGGAAAGACCCTGGAATTATATGGTTGAAATGGCCAGGATTGAATCAGTGAGTCGGGCACTGAAACTCTTCTCCCTTGAAACATACCTCATTCTCTTTGTCTTCTATGAAAAACTTCATTTAACTATGTCCACATTGGTTTCTATGAAGTTGCTTGCTCCCTACATTTTCCGTCAATCAGTTTCCGACTCGGTAAACGATTTAATATCATTGTGCAGATGTTTCAGATAAGCAGCTTGGAGGCTGTGGACCTTCTCGATAAGTTTCTTTCAATGAATCCTGACAGCAGGTATTGCTAATGTAGCGGATCTAGGCTTGTAGTGGAAACAGAAATATGTTTACTCCTTTCTTTTTTAGTAGTTCTTTATGTTTCGAATCATCTCTTCTTGCGGCGGTTGCGTTAAACTTGATGACTTTTTGAGGGTTGTACGATTAAAGGCATGTAAACTTTCTGAAGATGTCAGTTTCCCTTTCCCCTGTCTATTGATGTTCGAGTATTGATTAACTATGAACACTTTCATATTGTTTGCTTAGTTTTGTCACCTATTCCTTTTGATTGTATTGTGATTATTTCCTCGTACAGATTTTTGGATTCCTTGATGTGGAGAAGAATGGATCAATTACATTTAAGCAGGTAAGTTCTACTGCCGGTTATTAGCTCCCGCGAATTGTCTATTTCTGTTTAATTATTGCATGTTAGCATCACGCTATAGCATGTTTCTACCTGACCATGTCCATGGCAACATATTCATGGAACATTATACCCTTCTTACCTTCTATGAAGTTGTGAATGTGTCTTTGGACTCACTACTTTTCCCCTGCAAGTTATGGTTGGACTCATCACCACTTTCTCTTCGTCATTGCCATTTATGTGAATGTTGCTACTATATTGCCTTTATGCTACGTTTAGTAGGAATATTATTTATTCCTAGTGTTTTTGTAACATCCTCTATGCCGGGTTAGTGATTAATTTGCAAAGTTTCAACATTTGGTGATTAAAGTAGAATAATTATATAGTTTAAAAAGTAAGGTTAGTAAATATGAAATTAAGGTGGGGACCAAATGGTCATTTGTAAGGAATTTTAATTAAAATAAAATATTATGAGGTATATGAGAACCCACGTGTGACATTGGTTCCAGAACTCTCTCATTTCTTCTTCCTTCTTCCTCATTTTCTTCTCTTCCTTCTCTCAACGTGTGGCTTGCAATTAAGGTAAGAATCTGAACTTGGTAGCTTCTTTGATGTTTTAAGATTGGAAATGGAAGCTTAGATGTTATATAAGCTAAAGGAAAGCTTATAGGACATTAAAACAACAAGATAAGTGATTTAGAGAAGGATTTGGAAAATGAATTTTTAGATGAAATTTTGATAGGAATGAGTTTTTGAAGTTTGAATAAGATTTTTGACTTGTCAAGAAGCTAACTAAGAAGTATGAGGTGTTAGAATTCAAATTAGAACATATTGGAAATTGGGTTGGATTCTTAAATTCTACATGGAGAATTAGATTTCTAAGTTTTAGAGGTATTTAATGGATCATAATTAGTTTAAGTAAGTGTATGAGAGATAAGAGTAGTAAAGGGATTGAAATAAGTATGTTTGAGCTGAAATTAGATGATTTCCGGGCTCAAAATAGGATTTCTGGGTTAGGGGAATCGGTACCCATTCAAGGGGAACCGATACCCCTTCAACGAAATGAATTTCCAGAATGCAAGAGGGGAATCGATACCCCCAGGGGGGGAACCGATACCCCCTCATCGTATATGAAATTCCAGATTGCTTGAGGGGAATCGATACCCCCAGGGGAGGAACCGATTCCCCCATGAGAAAAAGAAGAAGAAAGAAAAGAAAGCAAGACTAAGCTATAAATTCTTTAAATTAGTAAGCTATTAAAGCTTAATTGCAAGATATAGACATCTGATGATCATCTTAAAAATTATGTTTATGTAGATACCGAGCCTACTCGAGTTCGGGAACAATCTACAAGTAGAATCGATCGAGGAAAAAGGTAAAGAAGTATAGGTGAGTGCATATGCATAGCATGAATATAGTAGTATATTCAGTTCTAGACTTGTGATAAGTCTAGATTCCATATTTTGACATATGATTACATTCCATATTATGATACATGACATGAATTTGTATTAAATGTATTACATGACATGAATTCATATTATATGTATTACATGACATGAATATGCAGAAAAAGTTATATGCACTATGTGATAAAGGTATGTAAATGATATGCCTATGTGTTAAAGGTATGGAAATACTATGTCTACGCGATATGAACTACGGGAAATGTATAAGCCCATGTTATGTAGATGAGAACTATAGGTATAGTTGGCATGCCAAGGGTAGAGGGTATACTCGGTTCTTTAGGACATATGTATATCCTTTGGAACCTGTGTGAAGTCTTGAAAGACACATACTTGATCCATAGTATATGTATATGATTCTTAAGGAATTCTACGTGGTCCTTATGGACATAATTCTACGGGCACTTCGGTGCAATTCTACGGGCACTTCGGTGCATTTATACGAGCTGTGGTGACAGCATAGTGCACAACCTCACATTACTCAAATACCTTAGGTTCTCAATATGCTATCATGGGCCAATAAACTTATTAATACAGAATAATGAATGTTACAGTCATACGCTTACAGGTATGGATATTGATGAAGTATACTACATTGATTAGTTACATGTTTGCATCTCATCTCATATGATCCTGACATTTTCATTACATTACATTGCCTTATTATTGTTGCCTCACTAAGTCGATGACTTAGCGTGTGAGTGTTTCACACGTAGGATCAGAGGAAAATAGAAGAGACAGGTGAAGCAGCTTGACAGTATTACTCCTGCAACCATCAGATCAGAAGCAACTTATCAGTAGGTTATTTTGTTATGTAATAGCAGTTGGCATGTAATTAAAGAGTTAAGTTGTGTATGCTCTGAATATTTTTGTAAACTTATATTACAGTATGTATATTATTGTATTTTCTTAATACAAGTCCCAATATTTTACTATTATTTATTAAGAGTTGTGTTTTAAAGTCAATGTAGTATCTCTGACTCATATCCGGGTCGGGTATGGGTTGGGGGTGTTACATTTAATGGTATCAGAGCTATGGTTTAGCCGATTCTAGGCATAAACCAGAGTCTATGGAGTCTGTAAATGGAATACATGCCAACAAATAGCGAGAACTTCTGATCTGGTATAGTATGAGTATGCTGTTTTGCTAATAGAACAATGTGTTTATTCTTATTAGATGTCCGGACATAATAGCTCCCGAAGTGAAGCGGGAGAAGATAGGCATGCTGAAAGCAGTAATTCACCTGCCCTGGCCAGGCACGGTGAAGAACAGGCATCTCAAGGAGTGCCTGTGCAAGATCAAGATACGTTCTTCAGAACGTTAGACGCTATTCTGACGCGTCTTCAACCTCCTGCTCCACTAACTCCAAGAATTAATGTAGCAAAAGAATTGAGAAGTTTAGGAGCTCCCGAATTTAAGGGAGAAGCTGAGGAAGGTCCGGTGTCAGCGGATCTTTGGTTGAATGATTTGAAAATCATGTTAGATGGTCTCCACTGTTCCGAAGTGGAGAAATTAGATGGAGCTGTGTCTTTATTAAGGGGTCAGGCAAGGATATGGTGGACGAATGTCACCATGAGGATGTCAACCGACCAGTTGACTTGGTCTTTGTTTTTAGATGAATTTAAAAGCAAGTATATTGGAGATCAGTTTATCCGCCAAATGAAGCAGGAATTTATGAGTTTGAAGCAGATGAGCCGCTCTGTGTATGAGTATGAATGTGAGTTTAATAAGCTGAGCAGGTTTGCAGCTGAGCTTGTGCCTACTGAAAAAGATGCTTGCGAGTGGTTCGTGGAGGGCTTGCGCCCTAGACTTAAAGAAATGTTGATAGTATTAAACCTGTCCTCGTTCCAGGAGGTGATCAATCGTGCAAAAGCTCTTGAAAGGGCTCAGAATGAAAGATTTGGGGACTCGAGAGTTCAGACATCAAAGAGGACGACTACTTATTCTGGTTCAACACCAACAAAAAGGGGAAGAGACTCGGGATTTCGATCACAAGCTAGATCAGAATCAGTTGCATCGTCTGCTAGGGAGCAAGTCAGACAAGACCTAGACAGACGCAGTCAGTGGAATCTGGTGTTGGGAGATCTACTCCGGGTCAAGGGAGACAGTGTCAGCAGTGTGGGAAAAACCATTACGGAACTTGTCGTATGGCAGCTGGGACTTGTTTTCGATGTGGAGAGGCCGGACATTTTGTCCGTGATTGTCCATTGATTATGGGTGAGCCGGCACCATCTGGAAGAGCTGGTTCTTTCTCACAAAGAGGACGAGGAAGAGGCAGAGGAAGGAACCCGTCTGAATTCTCTGCTCAACCTGAAGTTCGATCCACTGCTCGAGTATACAACCTAAAGACAAGTAAAGACCGTGATGACCCTGATATTATAGCAGGTACTTTTCAGTTGTATGATAAATTAGTATTGGTACTGATTGATCCGGGTTCTAATTATTCTTATATTACAAGTAAGTTAGTAAAGGAGTTGGGGATTCCCTTAGAAGCTACGAGTAATGAGATTATAGTAACGACTCCGTTAGGCCAGAGTGTCCGGGTGAATAAAGTTTGTAAGGGGTGTCCCATAAAGATTCAGGGAATTGAATTCCCTGCTAATCTGATGGAATTACCCTTTGACGAGTTTGAAGTGATTCTGGGAATGGATTGGTTGTTCCGGTATTATGGAGATGTTAGTTGCAGATTAAAAAAGGTAACTCTGAAAAGTCCAGACGGAATAGAGATAAGTGTGAACAGTGAAAAGTTTAATCCGTTAGCGAATGTAATATCAGTGATGTCTGCTAAGAAATTATTGCTACAAGGATGTCAGGGTTTTCTGGCAAATGTGATTGATTCAAGAGCTCAAGAGAAAAGGTTAGAGGAAATTTCAATAGTTCGAGAGTTCCCTGATGTTTTTCCTGCTGAATTGCCAGGATTACCTCCGGATAGAGAGGTAGAATTCCAAATTGAAATAATGCCGGGAACAGCTCCGATTGCAATGGCACCTTATCGAATGGCTCCGAAAGAATTGCAAGAGTTAAAGAATCAATTACAAGAATTGCTAGAGAAGGGATTTATCCGACCAAGTGTATCGCCTTGGGGAGCTCCGGTGTTATTTGTTAAGAAGAAGGATGGATCAATGCGTCTTTGCATTG